CGGGAGAAAGACGCACGTTCAATCGAATATAAATCCTTGTTCATTTCCATCCCTTTCTGAATCAAGTCAATATTTATCTTGCTACCGAAGCACTATTAACATTGACGGGCCGGAGCTCAAAAGCCATCATTTAGGCGTAATGGAAAAGGCAAACCAAGAGACGCGTCGCGATCCTTTTAATGATTTAAGCCGATCATAATGACCCGGATATCCTTCTCCTGGAGATGGGGGGGGGCGAATTAAAAGAGGAATCGGATCAGTTGAAAAGTTTCACTAGTCGTGTTTTCGTTTCGTTGCCTGTTATTTGATTTGGGAGTGGAGTGATAGGTTTTGAATGGACTGAGGAAAGAAGTAGTGAAATTAAATATGTCGTAATATTTCAATGATCTTTGAGTCTAGTTTTGAATTGGAAATGGTATCAATATGATTTAGTTTTTAGAATATTTTAAGTGAAATTAAATAAAGATATATATATATATATATATATTATAATAAAATAAGTTACCGAGTGAAAAAGTTGAATAACCTACAATGCCAAAGAAAGAAATTGGAGTTCAAGAGACATAACAAAGGTAGATACAAAGTATTTGGACTAAAATGAAGACCTATTATTATTTCTAGAGTTGTCACTGAATTAGGCCAGAGATTTAGGGTTAAGCAATGCTTTATATATATTATTGAAAACAATGATAAAACACCCGTGCACCACAAAATATCCGACGGGGCTCAAAAAAGTAAGTATTAAGAACACATTGCAAAGAAAAGAAGGGAAAAATGTGGTTTTGAAGATTTACAAATATTTACAATAAATTCACAGAACTTTTTAAAAGCACTTCTGGGGTGGAAAGAAGCTGGTGAAAAATCGGATGCCAATTTTTATTTAGTCCCTTGAAAGACAGTCTTATGATTTTTCTCTCAGACACATACTTGGAACACAGAAGGATCACATGTTCTACATTTTAATCGCCACCAATATTAAAATCACAGGAAGAGTAGGGAACTAAATTAAATGTGTTCTAATTAATTAACTAAATTAAATTAAAGTAGCTCTCAAAGTTACCATGTTCAAAGATAAATTGGGTTATTTTGTAATTGATATAAAAATGGTGGCATGACAGTCTCTTATTAATGGTTGGAATTTTTTTGTTAAGTTTCCTTTATTTGAAATGAGATATTCTTCGTTCCATGACTTCAACATTCTTTCTTTTATAATCTTCTTGTAAAATGATTTAGGAATATTATGGGAATTGTCAATTTGTGTTTGGCGGCAGCAATTGCAAGCCAGTCGGCCCACTCATTTCCAATAGCACCCGCGGATTCGTGAACAAATGAAAAGTCTATTGGGATATTTTTACCTTTTAGGCTTTTAAGTTGCTTTTGGATCTCGACGATTATGTTGTTAGATGAAGAAATACACTTAAGAGAATCTAAGGAGGAAAGAGAGTTGGTAGAGATGAGATAGTCTGAGATGACACTATTTGTTGAATGGCGAAGTTAAAACATAAAAGTTAAGCTACAAAAACTGTGCTGTATATTGGAAACGTTTATTGCAATTATATTGTCAAGTGTTTTTGTAAGTTTGTTTTGCGAAGTTACATAACTTGCTGTCAATTACTTATCTCGAAGTTATGAGTCACGATCCATTTGTAACGAGTTCTATTTGGGTCTTCTACGAATCATCTTGGGAAAAATAGTCATTCACTGTGATTTTAGTTTAAAAACCGCTTTCTGCAGACTTGATTTTTTTTGCAAATGTAACTACTATTTAAATGACATCGTTTAGTTTGTGATATAATGGTTAAAAGTTTATCGTTAAGCTGAAATTCAAGTGTTAGTAAGCTGCGACTGGTGGTCGCACACCCAGGGATGTCTTAATAATCTGTGAAACCCTGGGCCCCTACGCAAAAGTAGGCCCTGGAACACAGCGTAGTTAGTTCTAAGAGGGCTCTGTGTGAAAAATTCCTTGGAGGCTCTTGTTAGGAGCCCCTTTATATTTTATAATTTTGCTTACACATGTTGGGGCCAGTACAATTGATACGAGCTGTACGGTGGATGCTACGCCCCTTCCCTGGACCCTTACGCAAATATGGGCCCCACATATTACCCTTAAATTACAGTACATTGTATACGTTGTCAAATACTCATACAAACAATAACCCGAACAAACGAATGTACATGACTTACAATCTCACAAACCAGCTCGACCGAATGCCATCTTTTGACTGAAGGAGTAATGGTGGTGTATAATAGTAGGTCTAGGCCTTGTGACAGGACTTTATTGCGTCTTCACACTAATCCTCTTGGGGAGTCTTTGGTGCCAGAATTGAGTTATTTCAATCCAATCCTCTCACAAGAAATTACCGCAATATGCAGATAATTTATATAAAGGAACTTTAGCATTCGCGTGTTAGTAGGATAACAGTCGAATAATAGTAGTAGAAAAGTAGAAGAATAGAATAGAAGAAGATGAGATTCTAATCACCGTGAGTTATTGGTAATATATTAAATATAGAAGTGTAATTATAGAATGGACTTTAGCGTGTTAAGGAATCTAAGGTGGATAAAGATTCTTAGGATAACTTCTCAGAAAGATAGTGATTAGGATTTCAGGCGCTATTTACTTAGAATTTAGACTTACGTTGTATCACTCCTGATTTAATCCCTACAGCAAGACTAGTTTTGATCAATGTATTTAGACAATAATAAATTAGATTTATTATGGCGAATTTGTGTGATCAATCATTTCCTCCAACAAATCTGGGTCACATAGATGAAGAGATGATACCCCGGGTAGGGGTTATCACAGCCCATACATGGACCACGGTCCTCAATTGTAGCCAGCTGGCATATCATCCATATTCTCAGTGTTTCGGAGAATACAACCGGAAAAAAATTTGACCGTTGGAATTATTCGAATCATTATCTTATTAAAGCTCAGTCGAGAACGAGATGAGGCCTGCATTGTGGTCGAGGCCCTGGGATTGGCCCCAGTTGTCTCATACCTTAAGACGTCCATGTGTGTACCTTAAAATTAATATTTGACGGATAATCCGTCAGGAATTTGTTAAGTAACCAGACTTGGAGCTGAAAGAGTTATCAGACTGTGAGTAGGATCATATAAGGAACTGTAATGAAGATGTTAAACCTTCCATAATGATGTTATTGGACTACGAGTTGGAATTTCTTATTGCTCACAGCTTTTAGTTTAAAAGTTACAGATTTCGTAAAGTGTTAACAATTGAATAAATCTAATTATTTATGATCATGTCTGCTTCTTCTTCGAAAACTCTCACACTCAAATTATACTTCATTCTGCTTATTTCTACACTTCGTCATATGATGATTTTGAGTCTAGTTACATTCCGAATGATAAATACCCTTTATTCTATACGACAGCGCTTCTCAAACTGTGGGGAGCGAGCATTTTGAAAAGTCGAAAACAAAAGATTATTTTAAAAAATTGTACATTTTCTGAAAGTAAACAAACAAAATACCTTCTAACATAAAAAAAATAAACTATACATTTGGATTGATATAATACACTTAAATGTATCAGTACTGCACAATTTGTTTTATAATTAATTTAACAGTACTAAGTTAAAAATAAATTTAATAATTACCAGTGACCCCATGGGATTGTCATATATAAAATTATATACAAAAATTAAAACTTATGTTAATCATTTGTACGGTTTATAATAAATCCCTTAATGCTAATTTAAAAGTTGCGCGATTTGCTTACCAATGCCAACCGTTTTCCACGTAGGCACGCATATGTGATATATTAAAGGGGGGAGAAATAAATAAATAAAAATATGAAATAAGTAAACCCTTCACAAACATTGTCAATGTCCTTTTACTGCATTCCAAATCCTTTGAGAACAATTTTATGGATAGCAGTGCACAGAAAGATCGTTCTTTCGAAAGACGTATATATACGTAAGTGGAAATTAACGCTTTGGCTGAGTGAGACTTTTATATACGCTGTAGCAATTAAAAGGTTAAAATCGTATCGTAGTTTTAGCATCAATGGATAGCGTTATTGAATTCAACACACTGTTATTGTATGAGGGGGTGCGATGAAATTTATGATTGAATATTGAGTCGCGAATATTGAAACTTTGAGAAGGACTGAGCTAATCTGAATATCAAGGTTTCTTCTTGAGAGGGATGGCTGTGAAATAACTTGATTGCTGGCCCCAAAGATTCCCAAGATGATTAATAGAAATTCACGTAAAGCACGTCACAAGACAGAGGCGTCGAATTGCAAACACTTGTAGAACTCCTGACAATGATAATTAAACTACAAATCTCATACCAAGATACGTAGATATTCCAAGAAGCAGCTTTCAAATTTTATTTGAACTATAATTATCTTCTAAGATTTCACAACTAAATTTCTTCATGAACTGTTTTGCATTTAACCTTAAATAGTGCGATTCATTTACATGAGTCACGGATCCTTCAAAAGAAGAGGCTCTCGAAAACATAAACCGTTTATAAAAAATTTTCCCTCTGAGGATTATTAGTTGAAAGGCACGAAGAGATTCCTTTACAAATGTATGTTCCTGTAAAAGCATAATTCCCTATTTCAATAATATTTTTCACTAAAAATTATGATGTTCACAGAGAAAAATTTTTGAATTTGAAATTAGGATCACTTTGTGAAAAAATAAACGGGTAAATAGACATTTTATGTTTAAACAAGTAATATATATTTTATTTTAAAAAGTCAAATTCTACTAAGGTTGACGAAGAAAAATTTTATTTTAGTTACTTTTTATTAAATAGTAACAATTAATATAAATATGTATACACACAAAACAGAATCACAAGATTTAGTGGCAAAATAAAAAGCGATTTTCCTTGCAATTTTCCATCTTTCTTTCTATACATGGCGTTGGACTAAAATATATGTTTTTACTATTTATTCATTCATTAAATTTAATTATTCTAATAAAATAGTATAGTAAAAAAAGCACATTCTTCAGAAATTACGGCATCCCAGGTGGGATTCGAACCCACAGCTTTCGGATTAAAAGTCCAATACGCTATCCATTGCGCTAAAGGGATACAATGAACAATTTTACTGTCTATATATGTTGTTGGACTATTATTTTTGTTTGTTACTATTTCATTTTTTATTTTAATGAATGAATTAATATTTGAAAAAACCATATTAACATCAAGTGTCATCCACTTGAAGTTTAAAAAATGTATTTGAACTTCAATGGATGAATAGAAGGTATTTTATTAACGACTCAAAATTTGAACAGTGTTATATATATATAAACTCATGGACAAAAAAATTAGCGCACTAAGAAAAATGTGGGATAGTAACAAAACTTGGCATTAAGGTACATTTCGGAGAGGTATGTAAATGATTCGAAACGCAGCATGGTTGCACATTACACATAGCCAGTAGAGGGCGTTTAATGTCGTTCATCGTGGAGTAAAAAAAAGGTAACCACAGCTTGCTTGAGTGTGCTGAATCGTTTACAAAGTAAGGGCTGAGGTAGACTTGCCATTACGCCGTTTTTGAAGAAAATATGAGCAGTCGTCGCAGTTTGAGAGGAGGAGAATCAACGGCAAGATGGAAGCTGGTTGGCCTCTAGGAGAGTAGCTCGTCAATTAGGCCGCTCCGATTGTGTTGTGAGGAGGTGTTGGGACAAGTGGACCCTAGAGAAGTCATTTACACCAAGACCAGGCTCAGGACGCCCTCGACAGACCAGTCATCGAGAAGACCGCCACATCGTTAAGAAATGCACCCGTACAACCAACTGCTCCATCAGCCGCCATTCAGGCACGGGTGGCACCTTCACTAGGGGCCCGGTGTCTTCTCGAACCATACAAAGGCACCTGGTTGAAGGACATTTGGGATCACAGAGCCCATTACGTGTTCTGCCCTTGAAGAGTACCCATCAACGCCTCCGTTTGGAGTGGTGCCACGAACTAAGAAAATGAACTGCAGCGGAATGGAACCAGGTGTTCTTTAGCGATGAATCCAGATTCAATCTCAGCAGTGATGACAATCGTGTTCGTGTGGGAGGCCCCGTTGGGAACGTCTCAATCCTGACTTTGCTTTAAAGTGGCACACCTTTTCCACAGCTGGTGTAATGGTATGGGGTGCCATTGCCTGCAATACACGGTCACCCCTAGTATTGAGCCATCGCACAATGACAGCCTAGTGGTATGCCCATGGCATCCAACAACCAATGTGTTTCCACTCCTGAAACGGCTAACTGGAGCCATTTTTCAATAAGAGAATGCTCGGCCACACACGGCAAGGGTGTCACAAGACTGTCTCCGCACTGTTACTACCCTTCCTTGACTTTCCCGATCCCCATTTGTCACCTACCGTGCATATCTGGGATCATTTGGGATGACGAATTGGGCATACCACGAGTTTGAGCAAACTAGAGGCAAGGTTACAACAAGTATGGAACGTAATGTCTCAAGACATCATACAGAACTTGTATGCCTCAATGCTCGATTCTACCATATCGTGCATTGGCCCTATATAGTGGAGGTTTAACAGGGTATTAAATCCTCCGTTCTTTTGCCTTTTTCTCTGAAATAAATGATCCTTTTGTTTTAATTTTCTAATCACTTACTTATTCAATGTAGTCATTACGTATGTAAAATTTCGTTTCATTTTGACGCCTTCTTGACGTCTTCTTGACGCTATCTTGACGTTCTTTATATATATATATATATATATATATGAGGGAGAGAGTGAAATAATAGTAGGAATTGAGAAATATATAACGTTTCGAACAAAGGTTTTGAATTTTTTTAAAGCAATTTTTATATGTATGTAAACATTTGGAAACTTCCTTGAATCTTTGTGTACTCTTATTTTTTGTCTACACATTGCGTTACTCTAGTTTATAAGAGCAACGAATATTTAAAGGAGACTAGCCAAGAAATAAAATTAAAAATCATTGTATAAAATTGCTTAAAATTCTTCTTTTTCAATATATATCATTTATTTTATTTCAGCAGATGTAATTTAAATTGAAAGGTTACATTTTTTAGTATAGTATAACATTAACAGAAGTCAAGCACAAAATGTAAAGTAAACTTGAAAGAACAAAAATAATGCTGGTAGACAAGCGAGAAGCGTATATTTGTATAGAAAATCAAATATGAATTTTGATCATTTTGATCTATTTTTTGATACAAATAAATATATATCTTATCTCTACGCTTACATCAGTTATGACGACACACCTCCGATTTTGGCATAAAAGTAAAAGAAAATCCCGAAAAATGAAGCTATTACCTTCAATGGTTTCAGCCAATAATAATGGTTCGATAGTCCTCTTGGTAAAGTGGGTGATGAAATAAAAATAGGAATTACGCTCGCGCATCCATATAAACTTTTCACTAGTCATCATTTCATTCCGTAACTAGACATTTGAATTGGAAGCACTATAATAGAATGGGAATTGTCTTGTCTGAAATGGGAATAATTAAATTAAATACATCATAATGTCTCGAAACCTCACATTCAATAAAAGTCAATTATTTTAATTAAAAACTTCGTTAGTGTCATGAATTCAAAGTATCAAATATTTTAATTAAATTAAGATATGTAATAAATACTGATTGTCAAAGCATATTCCTTAAAATTACATCCGTGCAACCCAAATGTGTTCAACGGATATTTAGTTTGTGAACGGTAATCAGTAACTTTCAGAAGGAAGTAAAATAAGTGTCTAATTATATATAACCTAACAAGTTTTCACTAATTGGTAAATGTTTTACTAGGTTGAAATTAAGCATATTGTTTACAAGGAAATTATATCTTATTTGTTATGAAAAGTTAGCGCATAGTTAAAATTTGCGTTGTTGATGGTTAGGGATATACTATACGCAGTGCATAGTAATAACAATGCCGAAAATTTTGCAATTAATTAGTTACTTATTTAGTTAGCGTGACTAATTTAAACAAAGCCAATTCGGTGTATAGGAATGGTACATTCTACAATCCATTAATGAAATTTTCAGACTTAGAAATACAATACTCGTAAACACTCTTTCTTGCATTTTGTTTTCTTTTAAATAGTCCGAGAAAAACATTTATTAATATCATTAACAATGATTGTCACCCATCCAGAATGGTAGACATGACTCTCGGCGTTTAACCCATTGGGCTCCGGCTCCGATCCCGACTAAGGCATGGATAAGGAAGTCGGAAAAGAAGTCGGACTTTCTCTCGTAATGAATTCCCGGCCCCAATAGAAAGCAGCGACCCGTTATGTTATATGTTGGGGTCATCATGTGTAATAAATGTTCATATTCTTCTGTTTATATTAAATGTTTCTGTTCTTCCAGTTGTATTTTAAATGTATCCCAGGATAAAATAACACACAACAGCAACAACAACAATGATTGAAAAAATGTAACCCAACAGAGGCGAGCACTCAATTAAATTCAACACCCCTTTAGCCTAGTACAGGGGTGGCGAACCTTTATGGATCAACGTGACATTTTTTTTAAAAAAGTGTTTAATGAGGTATACACGTGCCGTCAAATAATTTGGACTTGGGATTACTGGAAAAATGATAAAATTAAATACTAAGAACACAAAACTCTTTCTTTTCTACGAAAAAAAATACATTTTGCACTGTATAGTTGTAAATGTTTTAGTTATACGTGTTATTCAAATTAACGTAACATTAGAGTGAGTTCTGTTGTTGCAGATTGGATGACAAATAACTTATATTTGGATTGTAAGATGTTACTGTTAGTAGAATGCACGCTTAATTGGAGCCATCTGCCAATCGGTTTTAAGCAATTAATTATTTTTGCTGTTATTCACTTTTTTGACGAGAGAATTTGCTATTTGTTTCAAAATTCCGTTTTGCACATACGATGTTCTGCATACCACTATTCCAAAACATAAAACACACATCGCTTTTTCGCCTTACTAATAATGCCATATTTCTAGATTCACCAAATTTGATATTTTCTTTTACACTTACTATCTTGCCCTTTTTATTCCTTTGCTGAACTAGCCATGTTATATAACGCTTGAAAATCGTAAATTGATACAATGAAATTAACTATGCTATGCGTAGACAAACTTTGCATCATAAGCAATTGTATTCTACGGTGTAACTAAGGCAAAACAATAACAAACGAGTGTGCTTCCACCTCACCGCTACAGATCACTCGCGTTTGTTTGTAATATTTCATAGTGAACTTTGTTATTTTGAAACAAAATGCAAACCATTTTGATCATTGAAGTGCACAAAATATTGTGTCGCGTGCCGTAAATGGTACGCGTGCCAGTGGTTCACCATCCCTGGCCTAGTATAATACTATATTCTGCAGGGAACTGCAAAACAATATTTTTGTGGATTCTTTTTTTTTGCAATCATCTTTAAGTGATTCTTAATATTTTTCTTAATTTTTATATAAAAAAATTATTTTAAGATATTATTTTATGTTCTTTACATTTTCAATGTTTTTGAGGATTTAATGTAAAATAATTCAAAGGGATTTTTCCGAGAATTTTTTTTTACGTGATCTTTCATTACATACATTTAAGGTGTTGAAAAACATATATCGTGTTGAACTTTCACAGGAATAATGGATTAACTAATGTGTGGACGGAATTTTCTTGTAGCTACTGCGAGTGCTCTTAACGGTTACTCATACACAATCGCTAACTGATGCTAGATATATCAGCAATTAATATTTCAAAGCCTGCATGAGAAATATTTAAAATACGCAAGTGGAATAGATTACTTTTTTAAAAGCATAAAAAATACAATAAATATGATTTTTATTTATTTTAAACATATCTATTTAAAATGTATATTGTTCACTATCATGCAAAAGGGTGTTTCTCTGCAGCAGGAAAGATGGTTTACAAAACTTGAAACTACTGCTTTCAATAAAGCAGAGTAGTACAATGAACTTCGTTAATTTGGTCACCAAATTTGGCAACAAAAATAGATGCATCGGGATAATTTTAGAAAGGTTTACGGTGATCATTAGAAGAGGTAATTCTAGAAGCCTTTAGAACGGCACACACTATCAATATAAAGATTATTCTATAG